TTAGTTTGGCTTAAATAGCAAGGTTGAAGAATTATGTTGATAGCATGAGAAGTGGGATCCAAATTCCAACGAATTTGTCGTTTCAGTTGGGAAAAAGCAATCTATTGCCTTACAGACGCTTTGTGCAAAGAAATATTCGATGCTGTGAATTGGCAGGTAAGGTAAAAACATTTTCTCCACGAAAAATGAAATATGCAGTATTCATACATTTAGGTTTTTGATGTGATACGTTACGTCGCTCAATCTTTTTTCTATTCGACTCCATTGAATTTTTTTTAGCTTATGTTGCATTAAACGTTGTAACTTGGATGGAGTAGTTGGTAGTTGTTACTACAGAGCCAAGTTCAACAGCTCCATAAGTAAGACCGGTTACACAGAAAACCATTAAATTTGGCAAAACGCAACGTGAGAATTTCTTCACGCCGTGAAAAGTTTGGGAAAAGCAAGATTGCTGCTTGTCGCATGCTAAAATATTTATTCCGCATCGTTCAGTGTTTTGTTACATTTTTGCCACACATTTCACACACACATTTCACAATCTTGGCTTATTAGAAGCATAAATTTCAAATTTCGTCAGAATAAAAGTTGCCTTAACGTTTATCATAACCGAATATATTAGTGAATTTAATAAATTGCTTCATTCTCCCCGCTTAAAGTTGTTTTGTTTTATGTTATATTATTTTAGTGTTGCTTCTGTGGAATGACTGAATAATGATTATATAATGATTAAATAATAAATAATGATTATATCATGATTACATAATGATTAAATTATAAATATTGATTATATAATTATTATATAATTATAACATAATGATGATACGATGATTATATTGAAATCAAATGTTTGGCAACTCAGATACGAACCTTGTTGCGAAGCTCGAGCGTCTGCGCTGAGAATAGCGGCCTCGCGTGTCTTTTATACTGGCAACTAAGCAGCCCAAACCGGCCCGGACAAGATGCTTTAGCAAGAAAAACTAAACTCGTTGAAAAAATTATGAATCCCACACCTCCTGAAACAGGGAGACTCAGTTTAACAGAATTTTATTTCCATCAAAACGTCCAGAAACTACTAAATAAGACCTAAGTTAATAAGAATAGGTACTTTTACAATGAAACAAAGACAATTTCAATTTATCAATGAATGTTTATGAGATTAAAAAAGAGAATGAATATTGTGTATTGAAGTTAAATTATATTCTGAGGACGGAGGTTACATTCAGTATAAGTGCATGAGTAGACACTTTTCACCGAAAATTGTTAAACATAGGAGATTGAAATTAATCATTAGGTACATAGAACGGAGAATAGAGAATGAAATGAATAATTTCAATGAAGTTAAATTATATTGCTGCAGGTTCCTTTTGGTGAGTGCTGTTTTCGGAAAACTTGCAATGCTTTCAGTGAGACTCAGTAAACTTTTTCTAATTCGTAACTTCCTTCGTACGCATACTTTCCGATTAACAATTCACGTTAACTTTGCCAGTATGCTAACTTTTCAAAAATGGAAAGAATTATTCGGGTTATTATAGGATTAAAAAGTTAATGATAGTTGCCCCTGCTATAAGACCTTTATTGAAGGTAACATTTAGAACTTAAATTACGAATTACTTTGAATAATAAACGCGCAATATGTCCAAAAAATGTTCTTGAAAACGCAAATGAGCTGGGGGTGAAAAGAAACACGGCTTCGAATCAAAGTTAAATTATTTATAGAGCCGCGCAGTTTCCAGCGCACCCCGAAGCAGCGGCAAAATTCCCGAGAGCGTCGGGAGTGTCGGAGTGCTGCGGTTGACAAGAAGTGACTGCCTGCAAATATGGAAATTAAGTTTGAGAAAATGATGTGAATCTTGCCAGAGCCAGAGTTCTGGAGGCTATAAAATTAATTCGATCATTAGAACAATATTGCACACGACAATCACCTTTTTAAAGTTCACTTGTTGTAAAAGCATAAGTGATCACAACGCGGGGTATAGACTTATGAAACTGAAAGTAGAGGGCCGACCGGCATGTCACTCCAAACAGTGCACTGCAACCCACCTCTACCGCAGTAGGCTTTTATAGAGTCCCGCCGACGATGTGAAGGGATCAGCAGGAGACGTAATCAGCCCGCCGCTCGCCGTCGGGTGCACACGGGTCCACGGAGTGCCACATCACTGGCGGGGTCGTCCGTATAGAAGCTTGCCGATCTCCATCTTCATCTCACGTTCGAACCAACAACTACGGAGTAATCCATACACGAAGAAAAGGAAAGGCGAGTAAGGCGCCTTCGTATGATGGTGGTTGGCGATGAACTACCTGGGCCGGCTGGGGCCGCTGGGCCAGCTGGTAAGGCTGAAATCTCGAGGTTAGGGGTTAACCTCTATATGGCGAAATATGGTGGGTGCTGTTCGACACGTTAAATGGAGATAATACCGTCGGAATGGATTTACATTTAGATACAGGTAATCATTGTGACCACTTAGGGCTTTACTATAAAATGGAACTAATGAGCTTAGTTTTCAACAATTGTTAATGCATTTCTTCAATTCAAAAGGCCGATTTTTGCAATTATTAATAATAGTCCTCGCCAATTTTGACCAGAAATTTCTGATGGTAGGTCGATCTAAACGCTCCGAGTATGAACATCTTCAAGAACAGACTAGACGAAGCTATGCAGGAGCATATGTTCAGTCTTAAATGCCTAGCAAATTGCGGACCAGGCAATAAGTCCAGCAGCTATCTCAATCAATAGTCAGTTATGGAAAGATCGGGTTCCAAAGGCCGGATCCCTTGTGAATCAAGTCGCGAAAAGTACAAGAATCGGCAACAGGCCATGGGCCTATTTCTTCAGAGCAGACACTTCTATCCTATTCTTAATTGTTGGTCTACTGTGCGATGTCTTGGCTTGTGTCCAATAATGTGATATGACGGAATTGTTGGAAGTGCGTAATTGAAGGAAGAGATTATGCTAGTTCATGGGGAAGTGTGGCGCAGTGGTGAGAGACTCTCGCACCCAGCTCCCGGGCTCGAGTCCCACTGAGGACAAGTTTTTCCGGGAAGCTCAGCTCATGATCAACTCAGCCATTCATCCAATTCTGGTTGATAAATGAGCACCTGGCCTGTCCAGGGTGTTGTGTAATGCAATAAAATGGTTCTGGCGGGTCAGCGAGCCAGTGGTGGTCGTAGAACTACCAGTGGCACCGAGTGCCCGGAAAAACTGACCTATCACCACCCCTCCCTAGTCGCCACTACCAGGATGGGCAATTACAACAACAACAACACATGGAGGAAGTGTTGGTTTAGCCGTGAAGTTAGGGTCCAGTTTTGGCAAAGCAGTAATAATATAATAATCCTCACTGTTGAATTAGTATTTCAAACATGGTAATACTCTCTGCCTCAGAGAGCTAGAAGTCACAGAGTACGAGGGCGAACCATTGAGGAAGTGTTGGCAACCTATACGAGACGTCGGCCATACGGGGATGAACGAGTAATCCAAACTACATGAGAACCGAGCCACACACAAATGAGACCCACGGCCAAAGATCGAGAGCTGCGGTAGGGCACTCAAGAAATAGACTCATCAGGATGAGAAGTTGCACTGCACTGCTGACAAGCAGAGTTGGGGTGACATGCTCAGCCAATCAGCTCTAAGCAGTGTGATAATATGGGAACACTGATGGCGCCGATTCCATCACGTCTCTAATTTATAACTTTAGAGTTAAGCCCGGCAAGAGTGGTTCTGCGCAGTGACGGCATTAGGTTAATTTTAAGGGAGCTTCAGGCCCCTTAAATAATTTTATGTTTATACGTTAAAATTGTAATTTTTTACAGGAAAAATGCAGAAAATTTCTCTACAATGTGGCAGGAATTAGTTTATATAAATAATGATAGTCATTATCTGTCATTATAAATTTATATACCATCATTAATCTTAGGGGGCATAGCCGCCCTCTTTAAAATCTGGTGATGCTTATGGTTCTGCACACGGTTAAATGCGAGAATAAATATCTAAAATCGAGGTTGTCTATAGTTACTAGGCAGAAAAAGGTGGCCATGACTTGAGTAATTCATTTTAATTACAACTATGCTTCCTGTATAGGTTGTGGTTGAAAAATAGCTACTAAGTCAAGTATTGGTATTAGGGGTGGAAACGTTCGTAGATGGAATAGAATTCTACTAGCTTAGCCGTAAATTGGTTGACGTTGAGATGTAACATTTGCATTTGTTGTAATTTGATGTGAAAGTAAACCTCACGTTGTTACACGGTCAATCAAGTTTATACAAGAAGCGCCTTTAGAGATGTAGGAGCGATAGTGGAGGAAATTTTTTGATGGATAATGCAAGCCGTAAACCCATTCTAACGCACCCAAGTGACAGCCAACAAGTATATATTTCTGGCTCGAAACTCATTAAATGAAGGGTAGCAACCGCTTATAAAAATGTCATCCATCACATGATTTGGAACGCAATTCAGTGCTAATCATAAACTCGTGATTAATTCTAGGCTGATTCTAAAATGAGCCATCAAAGAAGGAATTACAGCTGAAACTTGCCACCATGAGCTGACGTACTAATTCACGTCAAGTCCCCCAAAACAGGACAAGTTATAGAGATATACCGCGTACCATACCGCCGTATGTTACCCTCCATAACTTTCAATTTCAATTATAATTTAACTATAAAGTGTATCAACCTGAGGACGTTTGTACGCAACAGAGAACATTTTAAAGTTGTCGTACGTGGAGGCAACCATCAGTGCAAGTCATTTTGCGCTCACTAGAACGTATCTTTTTTTGGGAAGTTCAAGTAGGCTTGTGACAATATTGCTCCGGTTACTCATGTCAGGCGGTAGAGGGTTAAGATATCGCGAGATCAAAGTGCAAATGAGATCATAGATAAAATTACGGACCAAGAGTGGAGTGCGAATCTCGGTGGCTGTACCTATGCGTACCTACGAACAATTAGCCCATTATATAATGGATTTAAACGAACCATAAAAGGTCAAAAGAAGCACTGAGTAAAATACTTTAGTAAAACTATATTTTGAATCACAGGATTACGCATTTAAGTCAAGAGTATCAAAGTCATTATCGCTCAACTGTTTATTCTCATATAAAACGCTCTCGAACGAACGTCAAATTAGAGACAAGAAAATCTCAACAAGCATCGACTCTATAGTCGATGCTATTAAGTAAAGTAATAAAGCTGAAGACCTGCTGCAAGTAAAATTGACCACAAAAATTTACCATTAAGGAACTAACTAAACAGAAGAAACAAAGCTGTTATTAAATCAATAAATAGTCGCAAAGACAACACAGGTTTTTGCTTCGCTAGAACGGTAAAATTTCAATTTTTTCCTTTATCTTCTTTGAGACCGACAGTTCTATTGAAGACCAGCTTTTCTTCAGAGGAATCAGGGTCAACTGAGAAGAAGCCAACTCTCTCGAACTGATAAGATGTGAAGGGAGCAGCGCCTACGAGGGATCCATCAACCATAGCGTCAGACACAACGGTCAGGGAGGACGGGTTTATATCCGATAAGAATCCCTCTGGCACCACGGCAGGGTCCTCCGGTGACTCGTGGATGAACCTGCACAAAAACGGGGCAAGAATTAATGACGAAAAATTTCTTGTTTGAAGCCTTTCAGAATACACTGCAAACTGACTGCACCCCACAAGTTTACTAAGCTGACGATTTGTTTCGATCGTTAAAAGAAATATTTACATATTTTTTGAAGCCACTAAACTGTGCAGAATTTGGTATGAATCGAAATCAATACATTGTTAGAAGCTACAACATTCAAGTGAACACATTAAATTGTGATTACAGTCAGAACTAAGTGTCATTTGCAGCTCCCTTCAATATAATTTTCACGCGGCCAAAAGCCTTCATCACTTGAAAGCTACACGACAAACAAAACCAGAAAATTTGATAAAATCGAATAGATTTGAATCAGTAGGCAGCAATAAAGTGATGCATTGTATGTAGGTAATTGCTAGTTAAGGGATTAGGCTGGCGTTATGGCGGAAGATCGGTGATGTCAGTGTACATGATACAATTAATGATATAACTTAAAATAGCAGGTCGAACGAAAATTCTACTGAGGATAAATTCGTTTCACGAAGCGTCGATTCAATACACATGATTGATAATCTTCTAATCTTCCAGGTTTTAACCCTTCAGCTACCAACAATAACTCGCGTTACAAGGCCTTCAAATAAGATTGTGACGGGTAATGTGTCCATACACTTGTGTTCAATTATTAGCATCACAGTGGAAATATTCGTGCCACAATCCACCCCAACCAAAAGTTCACAGACGGTACCTCACATTTTAGAATGGTTTTTATTCACCAGGTTTCAGAAACAAATAACAATAATGGCGTAAAGCAAGGGTGAATCAGTGCTTTCTAAAGTGTGGAATGCACTACGCTGAATGGTAACGGAAAGATGAGAAGTGTCGCTTGGAAGACTTGAAATTTACTATGGGCATTTTTTACTAAGTCAATGGCAGCAGATGGATTTGCAAACCTAACCACTTTCTCATGGTAAGGGCGCGACCAAAAAAGTTGGGGGAACGCTGGGCTGAATTCATCAACTCACAGTCTATCGTAAAGCCTGACTTCACAGAGGGCAGGTCGCGCAACCCAGTGGATGAAGGCCTTAGGTTTGTTGCTGGCGGTAGCTTGGGCGCAGGAGGCTTTGATGCACACCACCTTGCCTGCCTCCCTGACCACATCCTGCACGCTGATCACGTAGCCGCTGTGGCGCAAACCCACGCTCTGGGTGGGCGTCAGGCGACGATATCCTCGCTCGTCCGCCTTCAAAACAAAAATATCATGATTAATGCGACAGATACTAAAACGGTTGAAATAATATCTAGAAAAAAGATCACGTAACTTTCAAATCAATGCGAAGTTATTTAGTTTCTTAAGCCAATCTAAGAATACTAGCAAAACAGACCTCCCTGAAGTCGGACGCGTCGATGTATATGACAGAGGCGAAGGCGACCTGATGGCTGCCCGCCGCATCGTCACCAGGGATGTTAGGTACTGTGATGAGGGAGGGAGCGTCGTCCGGTAACTCGCTCAGCTCCACACGTATCGCCTCCAGCACCATCATCCTCCTAGGTTTGTTCATTCTATTAGTTCAGGCAGTCAATTACATGTCACACTCCGAGAGTTACAAAAACCGTTTCTCACTCTCCCGCCACAAGCTGCATTGCCACAAATCCTAAAAAAAGTCCCAAAATCCTAGGCGTCACCTGGGACACCCATTACACGTTTTCACCTTACGAGGAGCCATAGCCACTGAAGCAACGGGCTCTTTCTCCGTACGAATCTTAAAAACAATTGCCGGCACTAACTGGGTTTCTCCAAGGAGGACATCATTGCCACCTACCGGACAATCACGCGCCCAATCCTCAACTACGCTGCCCCCATCTGATACCCTGTCGCCTCACGCACTGCAATAGCAAGCCTCTAAACTATCCACACACAACTCAGCTTTGAGATTAGCCACCGGCTGCCTCAAAATGGCCTCAATTGCCCATCTTCACAATGAGACTGGCGTCCTTCCCCTACCCACTCGCCTGGATCTGGCTTGCGCTCAGTTCCACGTCAGAACCCTCCAGCCTACCCACACTTCACTCCATATTGTCTCTGCTCCCTCGGAGTCCATACCATGAAAGCCTTCGTTATGTCGAGGTTCGGCCACATTTTGCTGCCCTTTCTGACGAACGGCATCATGCCCGCTGGCGTCAATGGAGAGACTAAGCGCTCACTCCGCAGAGAGATCGCCTCCCGCATTGTGGCGGCCGCCGAGAACAACGCTGTTCTTGCGGCCCTACCTCCACCAATTGCATCAAAAGAGGCCTCGCTCCCTCGCCCCTATCAATCGTCGTTATCCCAGCTCCGTTCGGGCTACTGTAGTCCCCAGGCGTCCTACTTTTAGGGTCGGACCCTACCCCAGTGCCACCTGCCCCGAGGGTGGGGATCCCCTCCAGTCCGTCCAGCATCTCTTCGCCTGTCACTCCTTCCCCACGTCCCTCAGTGTCTCCTCACTGTGGGGCAGTACCGTGGAGGCGGCGGCGTTCCTGGCCACCCTCCCTGCCTTCGCCCATCTCCCCCCTCTTCCGGTGCCCCTCCCTCGGCCACTACCAGAACCACCCCCCCGTGCGAGCGTGAAGTCGGCGACAGAAACAACAACAACTCTCCGGAAAAATAACTCTTAAGTTATATTAAATTATATGTGATATATTGACACTTGACATTAGCGACCAGAGGACAGTTGCCCGCTATAGAAAACATTTCACAGTTGTCGTACATGGCAGCAAACGTCAATACAAGTAAAATTAAAGGAAGCTTTCAAACAGAACTTACTAATGACATGAAAAAAGACAGCACGTTTTTTCAAGTCGTTGAATCTTGGTACACTACAGTTTTTTCGTTACCTGCTTATATATTCGTCCCTATTTATAACAATCATTTTCACAATAAAATATAATATCTAATATATTAGCTGTTTGCCTGATGTTCTTTGTGAATAACACGTAGATTGTTGACTTCTGGTGACGAATGTTCCCCCTGAGGGATATATTATTTATATATTTTACGAGGCATTGAAATTTGAAAAATGGTGATGTTATTGCATCACAAATAACACATAAACAATGAGACAAAAATTATTCCTTCACGATTTCGTAATTTAGGCGGTAGATTGATAAACAAATGATCATTTACTGGCTATAGACTATCGTACAGGATGCCGCATCATAGCTTCCACTGATAAACGTTATGTTGCTCTTAATAACAATTCGAGTTTGAGTTCTTCTTGGCAGTTCCGACAAAATTCCTTTCACACATCATTTTATTCAAATATACAAAATACAACTGACACAGAAGAATTCTCATTCATTAACCATTATGAAAAATCCGACTTAATGCAACCAGGCAGATTACTGCCATTCTCAATCATTAACCATAATGGAAAATCCGACTAAATGCAACCAGGCAGATTACTGCCATTCTCAGTCATTAATCATAATGAAAAATCCGACTAAATGAAACCAGGCAGATTACTGCCATTCTCATTCATTAACTATAATGAAAAAAAACCCTAAATGCAACCAGGCAAATTATAACCATTATGAAAAATACGACTAAATGCAACCAGGCAGATTACTGCCATTCTCATTCATTAACTATAATGAAAAAAACCCTAAATGCAACCAGGCAAATTACTGCAATTCTCATTTATTAACCATTATGAAAAATCCGACATAATGCAACATTAGCAAAGCAAACGTAGTTACCTGTGAGCAGAAGAGTTGAGGACATCGCGCACGGTGGCCTCCAGGGCTTCAGGATGGATGGTGATCTGGGCGCCGGTGAGGCCGAGGGAGGCGCAGAATTTGTTTATGGCCTCGGCAGGGAAGCCACGTCGGCGTAAGGCGGTCAGCGTGAACAACCGCGGATCGTCCCAATCTGAGAAAAACAATTTTGGTGAACCTGAGCCAAAATACAACGCGAAACAATTCACGATTATAGTTAATGCAAATGAAATGTCACAAAAAGTTAGCTGTGTTAAAAATCAATTATAATCGAGGTGGATAAGTGAAATGCTTTCAACATGTTTTCATTGATTTGCGGCGTAAATTTTCGTAAAAAATTAATTAATTAGACTCATTAGAGGAACGTCTTCAAAGCTATAATAACATTAAAAAATATTAGAATAATGAATTTTAAGGCAAAAACGAGTTAAAGTAACCTAAGAGCAACCTAATTCAACCCATAGTTGCAAAAAATTCAATCACGAACAATGCAAATGAATACATAATTACCAATAAATTGTTATAGTAATGAATAGATAATTATTACGATCTTCCAACAGACACACAGACCTCTAACGATGCCATGCTCAATAAGCTTTGCAATCTTCCTCTTGGACACGACGGTGTGGTGCATGTTGAGGCGGCCGTACTCCCACTGTACAGGACAGTAGATGTTCAGCGCGTTGCACAGCCAGTAGTACGACGAACGTCTGAAAACAAAGCCAACGAGCGGGTTTGAGAAGGACTAACAGACAAACAATTAATATTAGGCATTTACAAGGAAAGAAAGCATCATTTTATTCCTGGGTTGAGAATACAGAGTGTATCCTATTTTTAAAATTACGAACAAAAATGCTGACCATTATGTACTAACACTAACTGACGTGTACGGTATAAAAGGAGAAACACGGAAATTAGCAGGCAAATTTTTCAGAAAATATTAAGTGTGCCTCGCTGTGTCAGTGCGAGTTCTTTGCGTTTTATTCCTCTGCTCGTGATAGTGATTGAGGGACGAGGAGCGTCTTGAAATATTGGTGAAAAATAAGAGTTTTTTTTTACTCCAATTTGGAGCTCAGTGTAGAATGCCGACAAAGATAGCGTCGTCAGGCGGTGCCTAGCAGCCTCGAGTCAACAGCCACTCACTGGTCGTCACAACTAAGTTTGTTAGAGTGACATTAGGTTGAATGGGGGGAAAGGAACCGAGCACGGAAATCGCACCAGTCCCAAGGATCGCATCACGGATCAATGTCTTCTGGTAAAGTTTAAAGCTAGAGCCATGCACAAATTAGACGTTCAATCTGAAATTTACACGGATCACGTTTATTTGTCCAATATTAGCCTAGAAAATGTTCAGTTGACAAGTAATTTTGAATGTGAGCAGTTTTTCACTGCAACCATCACTTGGTATATCGCCGTGGAACGATAAGATAAGTTTGGTGCATTTCGCCTAAAAAAGCCTTAGGCACCAAACGGATGCACAAGAAAAAGTACCAATCAATTACTATAATACAAATCAAGTGTTTTATTCAGACAATCTAACCCAATAGCAAAAACCGAGAAGAACAGCAATTCTCACAGCAAACTCACGTTAGCAATACTCACGACAAAGCCAATAATACCATCAAAATAATCAAATCACTTACAGCCACACAATGGGGAAAACAAAAAGAACTACTCACAACCACATTTCAAACAATCACGCGTCCAATCCTTGAATACGCAAACTCATCCTGGTCACCAATCATATCACCCACGCAAATGAACAAACTCCAAACAGTCCAGAATGCAGCACTCAGGATAGCCACAGGCTGTACCGCAGGCACCAACATCCACCACCTTCACCAAGAAACCAACTCCTACCCCTAACACAACACCTCAAACTTCACGCCTCACAACTCAGACAGAAAGCACAAAACCCAACCCACCCACTACATACCCTCAACCTTCAGCCGCACCCACACCGTCTCATGAAACAAACCATTTTCCACAACACAGGTTTCACCACCAACATAGATACTCCGTCTGCACAAGCTTCACAGGACACAATCAAACAAAATCTCAAAACAATCCACACTACAATCACAGAAAACTATCTTGCAACCCTCCCTCACAATAAAATTTTAAACATGCCTGCACCACAGATTCACCCATCTGAAATAAACCTACCTAGACCTGCACGCAGGAACCTTGCCCAACTTCGCACAAATAAATCACCGCTACTTCTCTCATATCTAAATAAAATAGACCCTGCCACACACCCTTCTCCACTTTGCCCACTCTGTCTGTCTAACACGCACGACACCATTCATCTTTTCTCCTGCCCTGAAATGCCCACATCCCTGTCGGTGGGTGACCTTTGGGCAGACCCCGTAAACGCTGCAGGGCTGCTGGCTCGCTGGGGCGGCCGACTTGGCTGGCCCCAGAACTGGGTCTAGGCCCCGCCTCGCGCCATGAAGCGAGGCGGGGAGGGTCAACAACAACAACAGCAATTACAACAAAGTTGTGTAAACGAATTCTACCGATGACACAGTAATATAGATGAAATGCAGCAGACACTTTAAAGAAAAGATTTTTCCCGATAAGTGATGGTATGACTAATATGCACCTGGACTGGAATTCTTTGGTGCAGAGCGAGTGCGTGATGTGCTCAATGGAGTCGCAGAGGCAGTGGGTGTAGTCGTATGTAGGGTATATACACCAGGCATCACCGGTCCTGTGATGGCTCACATACTTGATTCTGTACGCCACCGGATCCACTTTACCTTCTTCAAGAGTGAGCTTCAAGCGCAGAGTCGCCTCACCTTCATCGAACTTCCCATGCTTCATGTCCTGAAAAGAATTAGAACTTAGAACAATCGGATGTGTCATGTGTTAAACGCATCCAGCTTGATATGAATTTGTTTCAAGCCAGAACACATTACAGAAGCAGGTCAAGAGATTAATGATGTACAAATGCATCAAATAGATTGGATTTAATGTAAGGTTTTAGATCCTAATGTTAGTGTTTAGATTAACACTACGGCAACCTAATGAACCATTAAAAACCTTATTCAAATTAACATCACCTAGCAGAAATAAAATTTAGTCAAAGAATTTCCTGGCTAAGGTAAATATTTGCTACCTATAATTTTACTAGTGTTTAGTTCGCTGAAGAGTTATGCAACCAAGTTATAGTAGTATTTGGCGAGATATACTGGAAATCAATTATACTAAGCGCAATTGGAAAAGCTTGATTGATTAGATCACTTGGAAGAGCTTGATTGGAAATCAATTATAGGTAATTAGCGCACCTGGAAGAGCTTAATTGGAAATTAATTATAATTGGCGCACCTGGAAGAGCTTAATTGGAAATTAATTATAATTAGCGCACCTGGAAGAGCTTGATTGGAAGTTAATTATAATTAGCGCACCTGGAAGAGCTTGATTGGAAGTTAATTATAATTAGCGCACCTGGAAGAGCTTGATTGGAAATTAATTATAATTAGCGCACCTGGAAGAGCTTGATTGGAAGTTAATTATAATTAGCGCACCTGGAAGAGCTTGATTGGAAGTTAATTATAATTAGCGCACCTGGAAGAGCTTGATTGGAAATCAATTATAATTAGCGCACCTGGAAGAGCTTGATTGGAAATCAATTATAATTAGCGCACCTGGAAGAGCTTGATAGACTCGTGCTTGGGTCGGTTGCGCCAAGGCGAAGGCGGAGGATCTCTGCCTCGGACTTCCTCAGGTCTCTGGTGACACACGTAAGCCAGGCCGCGCTCAATGAGCTCTACAGCCCACGTGTACAGCTGGTCGAAGTAGTCCGATGAGTGAGTGATGGCGCTCGGCGTGTAACCTGTCACAAATATCTCTATTAAACATCACTGGAAAAAGCAATGGCACTTTAGATATCAAGAATTTTTTCGAAAACATCAAAGGCATATCTCATAATCAGAACTAATTATTGTCTTAAATCAAATAAAGACAATGATTTCAATTGCTTGCTTCTCATTTTCAATATCTGCCCAGGACATGCGTTGGTGCCTTGAACCAATGGCAAACCTGCATTACAACGGTTATATATTTATCCATAATTATAACATAGACTCAATATAAAATTGGAATTATTTTTTTTATAAAATTGACAATTTTAATTGATAATTACTCAAAATTTATAAGTAATTATCAATTAAGCCACGTAATGATTGAAACAATAATGATGAATTGTAATAAAGTTTGATAGCCTTGCTTTGAGGTGTGCTCTGCAGATCTTTATGTTGCTCTGCTTGACAAACTTTAATCAGCAAGTATCGGTTTTGTCTTATAAATCATTACGAGTTAAATCGAAGGGAAAATACTGTTTTCCAAGTATACAGATTACATTTTGTCCTTTTGGAAACAGAATAAACATACTTTATTTGTAAGTGATGAAATTCTTGTGTCCTGTGTGTATGAAATTGGTATGAATAATTTTATACAGTTTAATGATGTGCACAAATAAATGTTACAGTCTGTTGAGGAGCTCGACGAATTTCGGCGCTCGATTCAGAGAACCTAAAAGACTTTGAATATTTGAACATAAATATACCCGTCTAAATATCGCTTTAATACTCGTACGACGGCTTTATTTGGTGCCTAGGTAAGTCACTGTTTGATGCATGTTATTGCACAAAAAACAGCATATCACAACTCACCCAGCCACTCGACCATATCACGGTGTTTGATCCATGTTATTGCAGAAAAAACAGCATCACAACTCACCCAGCCACTCGACCATATCACGGTGTTTGATGCATGTTATTGCAGAAAAAACAGCATCACAACTCACCCAGCCACTCGACCATATCACGGATGCCAACAAAGAATTTCTCCTCCTCCTTCTCAGGGTTGGTGTCGTCGTATCGGAGGAAGCAGGTGCCGCCGTGCGCAGCGGCGTACCCAAAATTGATGTTGATGGCTTTGGCATGGCCGATGTGCAGGATGCCGTTGGGCTCAGGAGGGAACCTGGTACGCACCTGCTCAGCGTAACTATTATTAATGTTTAGACAATTGTTAACGTCTTGCTGCGTGCATCAGTTTTGAGTTACCCAGTCAACATCATGCACTTGTAAATTACTGGTTATTCTCAGGCTATGATATAAACGCTCATGAACATTCATACATGCCGCATCAAATAAATATTTGAATGTTATAAACATAAATGTGTTGTTCGTAATCAAGAAACACACACATTTATTAAGAACCTACGGCAAAGAAGCATTCGCACATGAAAAATTGATGCATGTGCATATTTGTCATATTTGTCATATTTCAAGCATGTTGTTTTGACTCCCGCATATCTGTATCTACCTCAAATATTCTGGATTTTAATGACAAGATCAAACAACAAATCAACAGAGCTCTACTTGACCGGTACTACCTTTAGTCTGGTTTTCCGAAACCCCCAGAAATATTCGTGCAGAAACATTTCAAGTCATATCGAATGGCACCACATGCAGCAACAGGCAAGAAAAGTTATAACTATAATGTTGAAGAGTAAAAGTGTGGCTTACCTTGCCAGCGGTAATCTTGAGGTGTTGTTGTAGGAGGTCTTTTGTGTTGGGCGTGATGACGTAGCCTTCACTCTTGTGGTTCTCTCCTGGCTTGTGGAATGGAGCATTGCGCAGAAGCTCCAATATACTCAGGCCGCACGTGGCTGCAATTGGCACATATTTTCCATATCAGTAAGAGTTCATCACGCCTTAAATCAGTGCCCTAGATATGGTGAACACACCAAAAAATTGACCAAGATTCTACCAAAATATCAAACTCTGAACGCTAGTCCGACGTTGCCCGGAATCGGTAATCCTTCCAACCATATTGAATCGCGGCAATAATAATACAGCTAATATATGTCAATTAAAGAAAGATCCTTTCAAACCAATATTTTACTTAGAACATGAAATTTTCTTTTGATTCTCGTTTAAACAAAAGTATGCAATAACTATATTACGGATTTAAAAATTAATTCCTAAATGCCAATTTAGAGATCAAATTTCATTTTTACGATACAACCCAGACCTCCAAGTTTTTTGATGCAATGCCATTCTTCCTTTAACGGATAAATTTCAGATCGAGGTAATATCCCGAGACGGTTTATAAGTATCATGGATACCCACCCCCAACAGCCCCTGTAGATATATTTACTCGCAAATATTAACATATATATAGACGTTTGTCAAATTACATAAATTGCATAAGCAAAGGTGAATGATTCAGAACGCTAGTAAACCATAGTTGTTACTATGGAAAAGCCCATCACGAGATGTATTATTCAGAAAAAATCATAATAAATTTGATATTTGTCTCTAAAATCTCCACTGACGAAATTGGCAGCAATTATAAAGCAAAAAAAAAAAAATAAATAAAAAATAAATAAATTAGTGCACATAAGCGAGATGCTGCAAGCTAAGTTATTCGTTGACCGATACCCCTCTTGATTCAGAATTGAAATAAATTTAAAATTATTCTACACAAAACCGTAATAGTTTTAGGAAATCTATAAAATACTTAACATAAAATAAAGATAACAAAGAGGTTAATTGACACAAGAACATCGACTCAATCGCTACATTTCTCACTAACAAGAAATTTTCGAATTGGTCATAATATAGGAGTTGAATTAGCACCTTTCCCAAACAGAAACAAAACATCTTGAATTGCAAGCTTGCTTGTGGTTTAGAGCTGGAGACAAAGAAGAAGTCATGAAAACCTGGTAAGTACTTCAGGTGAAACGTCAAAGCAAATCTAAATATATTATAGAAAGATGGAGCAGGTAAGAGAGATGTTATGAAGTTATGTGTGGATTATAATTCATTTACCTTTTCGTTATCATCACAACAAAAGATATTGCATGATATGCATCAATTCAAGTGTATTTTAGTCAATTTTAACTGCTGATAATTACAATTTTAAAATCGCAAAGCATACAGCCAAGGAAGTTTTGATCAAACAATTTCCTGAATTAATAATAATTGAATAAATGAAAACTTCTGAACTCCTGGAAACATGCACAAGCTCTGTGCTGGAGCTACAGCTACATAGAGCATAGGATAAAGAACAATTGTCAGAGTTGATTTGTTGAATCAACAAAAATATTCAACAAGAAGACTTATTCAACCGCAGTTCTTACTCGTATCACCATTCTGAAGAGCTGCATTGCCATCGTTGGCAGTTATTGAAGCTTCCTTGGAGGAGAGTTTGGTTTTGTCAGCAGCCTTGCTCGCCTTGACTGACTTAGCCAGATCTTCTTCTGATTTGGGGCCCAGCATTGTTAGGATCTGAACGGAGTCAAGCTCTCATGAGTTCCATGGATCAGTTTATATGCATTGATATTAATATAAATATAGCAGCATGTCAGGTGATAGCATGGCCTACAGATCTTCTTCTGATTTGGGGCCCAGCACTGTTAGGATCTGCACGGAGTCGAGCTGTCATGAGTTCCATGGATCAGTTTATTTGCCTTAATAAGTACTAATAAATATAGCAGAGTGCCAGGTGATAATTCCGGATAAATGGCGAGTTGTAACGACAGCGTGAAGCGGATCTCGCGACCAATACGGGATAGCATGGCCTATTGCTTTCTCTTGGAGTCATTCTTGACAACAAGTCAACTCCTCAATACAGCAAGTGAAAAGCACTAGGGATAAACTTTAATTTTCGACTGGAGATTGTGTATTACGAGGTCTTCTGAATATGGTCAGGTCAAAGATTACCAACCCAGTTCTCTGAAGACAACAGGAAATCTATTATTTGGAATATACTGAAATTTCTCTAACCAAATATGGCGAAAATATCTTGGGACAAACAGACCAATTTCAGTTCTGGATTTGAGGACCAGTTTAAAGAGATTTAAATGGTCAAGACTGCATTTATAATTGTATTAAATCCATCATGTGGAAATATTCAAGGTGTATGTATTCTTGGTATTAGAATCAAGAGTTAACATTAACTCCTTAACTCAAATTTATAAATAACTTTAATCGCTTCTGAGAAGTAAGCCAACAACTGAAACGAGCAAGAATAAGCAGGACTGACCTGCAGATCAAATTCTTCCTTGATCTTTTTGCTGTCAGCCCACAGCAGCGTAGAGCGAGCCTCAGCCATTAATGCACCAAAGTTGAATTTGTATCTGCAAAACATTAGAGTAGTATTCTCATCTATAATAATTAAAATATATGTGTCCTGTTTGTTGATAAAAAACATCAGAGTGTTAAATAGAATATTAAAAGAAAATTATTCTATTTTAATATTTATTTAATAAAAAAATTAAGGTTGAGTTCACTTTTAAAATAAGATAAGATAAAGTACATATTGCAATTGACACTTCATGAAATCATTGATTTTTCTCAGGAATTGCCAACAGCAAACAACTCAGCACAAAAACGACAAGTTCTTGACCAAAGCATTGATGGTATAATTTTATTTTCATTAAATGGGACTATCTGAGTACCTACCTGCCTGCTATGTATGAAGTTTAATTACTTTCTCAACTTAAGGATTTTTTAATTAGAAAATTAATATTCTACATCTTCATAAAAACCTCTCATTCAATTTTCATATTTATTTTCCTGTTAAATACACAATCATAAATAAATAGAAATACCCGACCTCTGGAATAAAATAAAAACCTCTCAACCTTGGTGAAATAAAAATTTGAAACAATGAGGTATCAGTCTATAATGTGGTTATTTATAGCAGAGGGAAAAAGCAAATTTGTCTACATCAAGAAATTTGGGGATTGACCCATAACCAGTTTCTAATAAAAGTTCAAATTATTAATGTTACTTGATGAAGAATTTATGTGGCAGTTATGAATGCAGGGGTTGGACAAAATGAGGAAAACACCTGAGAAATCCACAAAATATATTCAATATGTATATTGCCTTTGGGGCAATTACAGCCTCAAATCTACAAGGTATTGATACATACAAATTGTGGATTGTTTTCAATCAACTTTTGACTTGCATCTCAAAAATCTCCATAAATGTTGACAATATTCAGTTCTGGTGATTGTGGAGGCCAAATGAGATGCTCAACTTCATTAGAATGTTCCTCGCGCCATTTTTTAACAATTTCAGCCATATGGACCGGGGCGTTATCATCGTGAAAGATGGAGTTTCCCTCTGGAAACAGTGCTACTGTTGGAACCATTGGATGAACTTTGTCCCCCAAAATTCCTGAATAGTCCCGGCTGTTGATTTTTCTATGAAGAGAAATCATTTGTCCGCCAAATTTCCAAGAAATAGCACCCTAGATCATCACAGATCCCCGCCATGTTTTACAGTTGGGAGGAGGAAATCGGGGTCAAATGACTTGAATGTCCGTTTTCAAACGTACTCTCAGCCAGAGGTTGGAAATAAGGTAATGAATGACTTGACAGAAAAAATCACATTTTCCACTGCTCACGGGACCAGTTCTGGAGGTGTTTACACCACTCTAAACGCTTTGAAATATTAGTATTTGAAAGCAGAGGTTTTCTAATTGCAGCTCTTGCATAGAATCCAGATTTGTATAGCTCTCGGCAGACAGTCTTTATGGAAACTGGGTTCTGTAGGTGTCCATTGAGGTCTGCAGTAGTTTTAACAGCCGTGGTATTTTGATCGTCCCTCACAATTCAATTTATGTACCGATGGTCTCTCTCAGACAACTCAACTTTCAGCAAGACCTGTGCTTTGCTGAAGACGTTTTTCTTTCTCTTTCAAAAGCAGTCATTACTTTTGAGACAGCACCTCTAGAAACATCAGGCATTAGGGAAGTTTCTGTCACACTAGCATCTGCCATATGGCACATACAATTTGGCCTCTTTGAATGTCAGAGAGGTTTACATTCATAGGTTATAGACACAAAAATTTGCTAAAAATATCTGTGCAAGGATAAACCATCATATAACAATAAACAATAAAAATGTCATGTTATTGTTTATAACATGTTCAAAAATTACAATACCAAAATGTTAGGCATTTCCTTTATTTTGTCCAACCCCGGTATATATGATGTTTAATAGTGTGAACTTGAAAGTAGTAAGTAGTTGATCTTTTAGTAGAACGGTAGTAGTAGTAGATCTTGTAGTATTTATATTGAGAGTTGTAACCGCACCTTTGGTCAAGAATTTGAGGCTTTCTAGATAGAAGAATGGAGCTGACGCCAGCCTCTATTTGGTCCTGAGTGACAGTAACCCCAATACCACATGAGGCTTCCAAAGCAGCAGCATCAACTGTACTACCTATACAATTCTGAGGAGTGTAAGAACATCAACCATTAGAAAATATTTGTAGACAATTAGGAAGTGCTGTTCCATTTTTATTTTTTGTTGAAATATCAGAATTTAAAGCACCAAAATATTCAAGAACTTACTAGTCAGTGGTTTAAAAGTTAATATAATGATGAGAATAAAAAGAGAGCTATGGTACAAATACAACTTGACAGTCCTAATACACTAAAATTTCCAGGAATTAAATATATACACAGGTGAAAAATGTCTTGTCAAGAATTATGGACATCTTGACGATACATTTTTTCAGTGAATAATTTTACCAACTTTCCTAAGTAGGCTGAGCAATGTTGCAACTGTCAAATGCTTAAAACAGAATTACATTTAGAGCACTACATGCCACTTGGACAAGAATAGTTCAAGGCAAATTTAAATCGTCATAAGCTATTTCATGTAATAGCATTTTCGACCCTAAGCTCTCGTTCTTCTCAGACTTTGAGCTCCTATTTTCCATCAGATTCTATTCTCCCTCTGATCCATCAGTTTTTATCTGTACAATCTTATTTTATTTAGTAAAAAGAAAATAAATGTGCATGATGTATTCCTATGGCTTCTATTTAGAGCTGATATGACAGAGGACCAAATAAAAGTATTACATACACAGATACTTGATAATTCCATTATCTATTATTACATATTATGTCTATTGAGTGATATAAAAGTGTTACAACAAGCTCTGGAGGCTTGTATAGAATGACTTTGGAACCTATTGATCTGAAGGAGCACTTACAATGCAATAGGGAACAACAATTGACTAGATTATGCACTTAAAGGCTTACTTGAACAAATTTGATGGCAGCCAACAGCTTAGCCTCCTGATCAATCTTCCTGGAGGTGACATATGTAGTCAACAGGGGCAGGTGACAATGGAACTGCTTGGGTAGTTTTGTTGCCAAAATGTACAACAGTTTTCCCACATCTCTGTCAATGTTCTGTGCTCCATTGCACTCTTCAACTGCCTGCACAACAAAAAATTAAATGTTATACACCGATAAAGTATAAAATAAGTACCGCCAAACGGGATAATAAGGGACAATTTTGGGCGTTTTTTGTTGATAACTTTGTACCATGAAACATTTCATAAAAGAGTTTGGGCTAATTTTGAAAACCTTTGCAAGGGCTATTGCATAGCATCTCTCAAAAAATGTATATGCTATTTGCAAGGTGCTTGGCGCAAAATGAAAGCATCCCTAATTACCCCTGGGAATGGGGTTATTAGACACATTTCAAATAAAACTCAAATTTAAAATGTTTGAAAAATGACAATTTTAAAAATGAACATGAATTTTTTTGAACAAAACATTTTAAAATATTAAAACAATGCAGAGTGTATTCATCCATTACTAACAGTACTCTGAAGTCCTCTTCTTTTGTAGATGGTGTAAATGTAGAATAAGTGAAATTTGTTGTGATTTTTACTTGTTTTTCCTTTATCGATATGATATTACCATAGGTATTATTGGTATGATATTCCCATATCCATGGATGGACATGCCATTGTGCATTGCCAACAACCTTCCACTGTAACCTTTTTATCAGATCAGAAGCATTCACGAATTAAATTGAAAAGTTACATTCAATATCTATAGACAACAATGATGGTATATATCCATTATAATTAACTAGTACCTATTATACATATAGGATCCTTGAACTGTAACTAGAGCTTTCATACCATTTTGGAACTGCAAGATTCACACTCAGTCTCAAATTCACCAGTTCCTGTAGCTCAGGGCTCAGGCAAGGAATATATCTACCATTCTTGTCAATTGTCATGACTATAACTTTCATGCCATTTTTAGAAACCCAAGATTCTCTATCTATGAATTACCTCCAATCTAATTGTCAATGAAAGTGCACCATTGGGGGNACGTGAAGGCAACAGAACTTACGTAATGCATACGTTTTTTTTTATAGTTTTTCATTTCTCGATGCGTCCTTAATGTGTCGGAATATACCACGTTTACCCTACGTCCTTAATGTGTCGGAAATTCGGAATATGGTGTGTTTACACTTTACCCTACTAGGTAATAGGTATATACGTATATTAAATAAACAAAACTGATCCAAAGATTTTTAATATTATCACAAGTTCACAACAGACCACTATGCAGAGAGTGGATGAATATAGCAAGATCTTTGGCGACGCTTCAGTAGCCAAATTTTTGCCTTCAGAAGATCTTGTCGACACATTTAGATTGAAATTCTTGCACTTAATATATTTATCAGTCTTCGGCCAACTATTTAGAAAAAAAGTAAGGTTTCCGGTACGTTGGATGGATTACGATGCAGCGAAGCTTGTCCGGAAATCAGTTGCGATGAGTTCCCGCAAAAAATGTAAACAACGTTTTTTTATTGCGTAGTTTCAGTCACATTAGAGTGGTCACTGGTCACAGTGGTCAGACTGCTTGATTACATGTTCAGTTGACACTTGCTGTGCAATCGGACTGTTTTTAGGGTAAAATTAGTTATGTGGGGTAACACGTGACTGCAACCTTTGAAATAAGTTTGTGGCTTGTAAATAGTTTGTCATTACTCAGCGTAAATGGCTTTTCATTAAAAATTACCCGGCGACGCATCTCTAAAATGGCCGGCGACGCTTTGGGCTTAAAAATCCATATATTGGCGACACTGCATCCACCCTCTGCATAGTGGACAACAGATTTGTAGCCATTCTGTGGTTATCAAACCCAAGTGGCCAAGTCCCAACAAATAATAGTTCTGAAAATCTGAATAGTAGCAAAGTAGAGATTTTCAGAATCAGTCCATTATTATGTAATTTCCTCATCTACCTACTGAGCTAGGCTGCTAGCCTAGGCCTACTCAGTCTCAATATTTTAACCAATTTATTATGTAGGTATCAAGGTATGATAATGCTGGTAGTGGTATCCAAGATATTTAATAATAATAGTCTTATTTTAGTTTACTTAGAAGTTAGAGGACTCAAGTTAAGGTACTTTCTCAACAATGAACAAAAAACTTGAGCATGGGCAATAAAAATGTTTTCTTTTGGCACTAAGATCAGATACCTAGATTATTAGAATAATTAGATAGCTATTATTATAATCAAAGTGCTTATTTGCTACTTATTTGTTTACCTACTTGATTAACGATAGATAGAAGTACTGATGTAAGTTGTTCATTTTTTTTCGTTTCTTCTGCCTTTTGTGCAGTAAGGCCAAGCACCATTAAAGTTGTCACGGTTTCTTGCGCCATCACGAATCACAGACTGGTATGTGTCTTGCCTCACACTACCTACCACTACCAAAGAACGCGCATTGTAGTACAATCAAACGCGTGCTGTCACCACTCACCAAGGAAAACAGCGCTGAAGTGATAAAGGTTTACCCTAAATGATCGTGGATTTGTAATTATACAACATCTTTCCAATTCCCTTAATTCGATAGGTTCAACGGGAACGGGAGACTCTGTGGATACTCTTACTTATATCGAACTAAATGCGCTGCTGCGAGGGTCGTCAGATTTTTTTGTCTATTCATTTTTCATAATTAGCACGCTAAATGCTAATTTATAGCAAATTCTTCAAGCATAAAATCTGAAACTCTGAACTAATTGGGTCCTAAGTAAAAAAAACTTCGTTCGTTATTCTCAATATTTAAAAAAAAAACGAAAAGCAAAACACGAGAAGTAGGTACACGAATCGGCAACAGGCCATGGGCAATTTTCTTTAGTGCTGACACTTCTATTCTATTACGTTGCTGCGTGTCATCAGAATTTATTTTGTTCGTTTTATATTTTGGTTAGCGCGCTGCGATATGAAATTGCGGGACGAGACGAATTCTGACCTTAAGCATCCGAGCGGTGGTTTGGACTGCGTGACCCCTCGTTTTTCCCGCGCTCATCCAGTTCAACACCGGTGATGACGGAAGCATGTGACATTGTACATATATTACGTCAACCGTGATGTACTAAGGCTAAGCTCGTACAATACTTGCCTGCGTGGTCCTGCAAGCTACTTACTTATGGTACGCTGCGTTCATTATCCGCAGCATCCGCAATACACTACATTCGTCAACATCGCATTCATAATACGCTGCATCAATGAAACGCAGCATGCATGGTTCTCTGCAGCCATGATCTACTTCTACTGCACCCGTGATGCGCTACATCAGTGGTTCCCAAACTTTACAGGCTGGCGCCCTGTTCGGCTCCCCTAGTCCCCATGCAGTGAATTTCCAGCGCCCCCCCCCCTCCTCCGACAGACACATATAGAATAGAATAGAAGTGTCGGCACTGAAGAAATAGGCCCATGTCCTGTTAAAAAACCAAACGCCTCTTCCCTGATATTGAGTATGCTGAAATTTTAAAAGAGAAAGTTGAAACATAAATGTATATTTCACAAATATAGAACCCTATTTAGTAAACCAACATTTTTTTATAGTTTTAGCTGTTTCAGCACTAGAAATTCAAGACGGCTCGGACAAATTTACGGCCGGACTCGTGGCCGGTCTCGCAGCCTGTCTCACGGCCAATCTCAAAATTCAGTGACCAAGGAATATCTCCCAAACTAATGAACGCAGCTCGATAAAACTTGGAACACGTATTCATTAGGACCTAACGGTTATGTTTAGCTCGTGAAAATTTTTTTACATTTCACCTTCATTCGGGAAATATATGGCGATATGGGCCGAAATTCGCAGTCGTCAAAGAATTCCTTCCAAACTACTGAACAGATTCGAACGAAATTTTTAATATGAATTCCTAACTACCAAACGGTGATTTTAAGCTCGTGAAAATTTATTCGATTCGGAGTCATGTTCTACAAGTGTTGTGCACAAATCGTTAAACAAACGTACGAACTTCTGACTACGACTTAGCGGATTGCCGCCCCCAAACTGCCCCTTTCTTCCTCACTGCCCCTCCACCCCCAGATCTATCCACCGCCCCCAGGGGGGGGGGTGAAATCGCCCACTTTGGGAACCACTGCGCTACATGATGCGCTGCGTCCATGATACGCTGCATCTCAGATGTGTTGCATTCATGATAATTTGTAGCCTACCATGGATGCAGCGTATCATGGATGCAGCGTATCATGGATGCAGTATATCATGGATGCAGCTTATTATGGATGCATTGCATCATGGGTGCAGCTTATGTAAAGATATTTACCGTTCTTATATATATTTTAATACTACGATCTACCGCGGAATTTACGCCACAATGACTATTACAACAAAAAGTAATTGAGAAAGTAGTGTTTTGAAACTTAAACGAGACCTTATTAAGTCTCTCACCCACACTCTACGCTACAAAGTTTTTCACCCCTTCAGTACGATTGGCAACTATGTCCCCAATTGCTTCATCAAGCGCATCCTCAAACTCGTCATTATCGTTATAACGTTCCATATGGGGCCCAGTGGTTACACTTCAGAGTACCAGGATTGGAGCAGAGAGGTGTGGGTTCGATCCCAGCTCTGTGCGTCAGTTTCTGGTCAGAATCGGCAAGGAGGCAAAAAAGCTCAAGCCCGCAACATGCTGTGCATGTTCTTCAATGTTAAGAATCGGCGACCGGCCAAACGCTGAAATCGCTAAATATTTCACCATGCACAGATCTCACTTGACGGCTTCCAACAACGCACTGGTAGGGTAACGTGGGGCAGCGCGCCCCCCACTTTTTTTAGACTAAATTTTTGATGAAGTTTTAATTGATACGAGGTGGTTCTTTGTTTTGTTTAAAGGTGCAACTAATGAGGAATGTATGATGTGAATTAGACGCCTATAGAGAACCGGCGGTAGAGAACACGGACCAATATCTGCCATACTTAGCGAGAAACCCGCTATGGGCCCGTGACCCGCAGTGGGCTCGCTGCCCCATGTTACCCTACTTGCGGATGCAAAAATACTGTTTACCAAATACATTCCTCGTGTAGCCTATATAAGCTTTCAGCCGGCAAACTGAAAGTGTAAAAACTTGCAGTGCATACTTGCAGCTAATACTAACCCCGTGTAGTCAGTTATTCTCGGGACAGGAGGGTGTTAGGTTATCTGGGCGCTGGCTCAGCTCGAGTGAGGAGCGGCCTGTCGACCTCGTACATGAAGATAGGAGAGAGGTCGCAGTACTTTATAAAGGCTATTTAATTGAGTTGTTATTGCATTGACTTGTAAGTAGAAAGAAGTTCGCTGATTGCGAACTTCTACAACGGATAAAATTTCGCAAATAGGCTACGACTGCTAAAATTTCAAAATATTGGAAGAGGGATCACTTTCGACCATCATGGCTTTTTTCGTTATTTGGACTTTTTCGTATTTTTTTTATGAAATTTAAATTAAATGTTGTTTAATCTGTACTATGAACTGTATTATATCAGTTAGATATTATAACTATATTTGGTTTGGGCGACAGTTTGGTGAATAAATTGAATGTCTTGCGATTTCCACGTACTATTTTTTAATTCTAATAATCATTTTGATATGTTGTGTATAATGATGAGTTGTGTGCATGTGTGTAGCATTCATCAATGTACGGATCTGTACAAACAAAATTGCTGATATTATACTGCACGATGCCAAATATTTAGTTATAAATTAAAAAATTTGATCAAAACATATTTGCTTGAAATTATCGCTTGAAAAGCATCCGACTTCTCCCTCTAGTCTCAATATTATAGCGATATACGATTTCTATACATTAAACTAAACATGGCTTATACTAAAGTAGCAAACAAGCGTGACTTACAGCTATAGTAAACTAAGCGTGACTTGAAGAATAAGTTAGCTTAGCATGACTTAAAATTATAGTAAACTAAACAGGACTAAAAAAATAGTAACCTAAACAGGTCTTGAAACGATAATAGACTAAGCGTGATTTTAAACATTAGTAAAGTAAGCGCGACTCAAAGCTATAATATACTAAGCACGACTTTCAGAGAGACATTTGACATAATATTCCATTTCGGCTTCAAACTTACCAATGCCTTGGGAATTCTAACAAATAAAAGTCATTGTCTCAGAATTAAGTGCCAAACAATTTTTGAATCTATATCAGATTTTTGTGTTTACGCTGATCAAGAATTTAATGTAAAGAGAAGAAAATATGTAAATACTAAAGATACTTGAACTGGAATTTTCTGATCGCATAAGAAAAACATTTATTGTAGGGGCTATCAGACGCCATGGGTCCAGGCCCAAATCGAGCGATCAGACATCGAGCCAAACGTCGCTTGTGGCAAGTTAATTGTCACGTTGAATTAAGATTGACCGGCCACTGCTATCTCTTATAAATACTAAAATTTAGTTCTAATTACAGCTAGCAGACCGTCTTGATCAACTTTCATCAGCATTTCACGAAGAGCAAGTTTTCTTGAGCCCATTAAACATATTCCGATTATATGTGGATACTCGGGACACTGATGAGAGCTACTCTCTACCGATATTAAAATTAAGATCATTCGAGTATGTGGCCGTTTTGTTGTATTAGCTTCTCTAATTTAGTTAAAAGGTGACTGTACATTGTACAATGGTGATGTGAATTGCTATGACCAAGTCGATGTACAGATCTATACTTGCAGGGTGATGTGCTATGCAATGTACAGGGTAATGTGCTATGCAATGTACAGGACGATGTGCTGGGTGATGCTGCTGTACGTGTGCACTTGTGCGGCGCTGGAGGACCTACGGCAGAGTGAAGGTGGGTTCTGGGTGAACAGAACCTAGGCTACGATGTGCACGCAGTAATTATCAATAAAGTTATTCAATTAGAAATTACAAAAATAATAAGTGAAGTTGAAATTCATGATAAAATTCTATTGATTAAGAAAGAAACGTTACTACTTGAATTTATTGCTGAATTAGCAATACAGGAATTATTTGCAAGTTAAACGTACAAGCAATTCCTCAATGAATTTATATAACGGTAATACTTTCTCCTGAGTAATAATGCATTCATGGGCGTGGGTACATTAATGCAATGCCAATTCATTCAATGTATTGAATGTATTTTATTCAAATTTCATGAACCGCAATTGAACTAACCGCAGTATGCATGATTGTCTCGAATAATACAATAAAATCTTTATTTTATTGTAACGTTTAGCAACGATATCAACAGCAGCGAGTTTTAGATAATTCCGATTATTACATCTGACTTCTTACTTATATAGTTGCCTATAATTACACGAGCCATTACCAGGCACGTTTTGACACATTTATTTTAGGTGAAAATAGGGAGAACAATTCAATGCGTATTTTTCTCAGCAGTATCACCTTTATCAAAGAAGTATCAAAGCAGTATCAAGCAGTATCACCGATCAGTATCAAAATCGCCTTTAGACCGGCGCGATGCAAGGTAAAATTCAACGACAGGCATTTTGGGATCAAAAAGCTTCGTAACTTCGGATGTTTACATACATATATCAATACCTGCATTAATACGCAATTTTGTAATATAACTTCCATTTATTCCAAACATTTTGCTTTTTCTATTACAATAAAATAAATTCCAATTCTAAAACATTTGTATATACTATTTTTATACTGTCTACTGTCATGTTATCTGTTATTCTTATTCTCCTCAAATCATCTTCTTTTGCGTTCTTGTAATTGATCAACTTTCGATTACCTATAGACATAAAAAATATATAACACACATCTGTTCATGGCTTATTTGCTCCTCTAGTTTATGGGTTTAATGTGACCGAACTTTATTGTCGTGTTTGTTTGCATTGTTTGCAGCCCAATCATCCAAGTCTGTCGAACATTTCTCTCATGTTTCCCAATAATCGTTTTAGGGACCTCGGCCTCGCAGCAATGGCAGGGCCCAAACAATATTGCCTGCTCGTCCTCCGAAGCTAAATAATAATATAGTCATAGATTAACTGTCCCTATTTTATTTTGAAACGATTGAAAAAATAGCTTGTTACGAAACTAAATAGCTTTACCCGTACGAACAAATAATTCATGAAAATGCGAGTTACATTATACCAACGCTTCAACCCCAGTTTCTTGTGCTCCGAACAGTCCAGGTTCAGGATGAACAGAAAAAGCTCACGATGAACAGTCAGTCCACAGTCCAGAATTCCGACGAACAGTCCAGACTCACGACGAACAATACAGTCCCAGGGCGAACAGTGCAGGCTCCCGATGAACATGCTTCACAACTTTGAACATGCTTCACTTTGCGATCAGTATAAATTTATGATGCCCCAGTTTACAACCAGTATAAATTTCTGACATGCACCAGCTTACCACTTGTATAAATTTATGACATGCTCCACTTTACCACCAGTATAAATTCATAACATGCTCCAGCTTACCACCAGTATAAATTTATGACATGCTCCAGTTTACCACCAGTATAAATTTCTGACATGCTCCAGTTTACCACCAGTGTAAATTTATGACATGCACCAGTTTACCACCATTATAAATTTATGACATGCTCCAGTTTACCACCAGTATAAATATATGACATGCTCCAGTTTACCACCAGTATAAATATATGACATGCTCCAGTTTACCACCAGTATAAATTTATGACATGCCCCAGTTTACCACCAGTATAAATTTATGACATGCCCCAGTTTACCACCAGTATAAATTTATGACATGCTCCAGTTTAACATCAGAATTAACGTAATGGCAGGTTTCAGAGGGTTGCACTTTCTGATATGAATAGGATTTAATTAAGGACTATTTAGATCATATGTTTGCTTAAATTGCAAAATTACTGTGCAAAGAAAACTTACAATAATTCACCAGATTTAATTTTTTTTCATAATTGTCTCAGCTTTTAAATTATTATTTACGAATTGTTCCCTAGTGACGAAGAAATATCTCAGCTTTTAAATAATCAAATCTTTTGTTTTGTGTATCGTGTTATTCTAGCTCTAGCATGGTAGTGAGTAGAGAGAGTTGTCAATAGGTACTGCTTAGCTTGTCACTTCAAAGGCTTCCCTCATAGAATTACTTGCAAACATTCGTTGAAGTTGACTTAAGAAACCTCTCGACTTCCCAGGGAATATCCTGCACCGGCAACAGCCGGGTTGGTACGGTAGGAAGCTTACTTCCGCGTTAAATCATTAGTTTAGAAAGAGCAGTTTCAATACTTTACTTTTCTTAGAATTTGCCAATCATAATGATTGCAATACATTAATTACATGATCCAGAAGAATAAATTGGGATCATTCTGTCTGCCAATCGATTTTATGGCAGATTTGTTTATACAATCAAGTAAGATAAACTCTTTCCCTGTAAAATAGTCCATTGTCTAGTTGGAACCATTTGAAACAATTGTTATCCAGTTGGATAAACTATAATCCGTTTGATTTAAAATTGCTGTCCAGTTGGATAAACGGTTATCCATTTAAATTACAATTGTTATCCAGTTGGATAAACTATAATCCATTCGATTTAAAATTGCTGTCCAGTTGGATAAACTCTCATCCATTTGAACCAAAATTGATATCCAGTTGGATAAACTCTATCCAATTTAAATTAAAATTGATATCCAGTTGGAAAAACTGTCTTCCATTTGCATTGAAATTTATATGCAGTTGGATAAACTGCATGCATTCATTTAAATTAAAATTGATATTCAGTTAGAATAGATAAACTGTTATCCAGACTTTTATCCATCGGGAAAAACTGCTTTCTATTTGGATTAACACGCCCTGTGCAGGCCTCATATACCGCGCAACTCCATAACTTTATGGTGAACAAGGTGCGCCTGTTGTCTCTGAGTACAGGTAGAAGCTATTCTTTTTACTGTCTTGTCAATTAATGCTTAAGTAACATCTGGGTTCAATAATGATTTTTTTCTTTTCCGTTTCTCCTTCCTCTTTGTGGCCATTCTGTACCACCTCCTGTTCTCTTCGACTCTTTCCTAGTGGCACCGCAACAACAAACATGATTTTTTCATTGCTTTCGTGTATGTTATGGTGGATCGCGATCGTAAACTCAGCTCTGGACGCAAGAAAGTCCTGCAATGGCAACGACTCTTGCGGGCTCAGTAGAAAAATGACGAAGTATGTCGACTGCGCGTATAGCTCAGAAATGAAGCAAACTAAGAGGGTATTAGCCGCACGATATCACGGCTTATTCATCCATTAATATTGATGAGCCGCACGATATCGGCATTATTTCTCATTAAGTACCGTAGTACTATAACTCATTATGGATGATACACACGGTAACACGGTATTATTTATCATAAAGGATGAGCTGCGCGTTAACTCACTATCATTTCTCATTAAGTACCGTGGTTTTATTTTTCATTATGGATGAGTCACACGCTTCCGCCGAATAATTTCTCATTATAAATTAGAAGCTGGAGAGAAAAATTTCGAGCTGGGTGTACATGCACAAAGTTGAACGCATCCTCTACAAAAAAAAACAGTCATTTAATAAAGTATACAAGCTCGCAGAAGATAGTGGGATTCGTGTAGGGTGTTTCGTTGTAAGCTTACGGTAGAAGTAGTATCATGCATGTTTACCCACACTTAAAAAATAACACCTGACGTCATCCACCAACTGCTCCTGCCATGACAAATATAATCATGTTCGTCCCGTGAAGAAAACGGGCAGATGCTTGGGATGATGTTGTGGCTGTCTCTTATAATACCAAATAAAATAATACCAAATAAATTTAATAAAATAGAAGTGTCGGCACTGAAGAAATAGGCCCATGATCTGTTGCCGATTCTTGTCCTTTTCGTGACTTGATACCACAAGGGATCCGGCCTTTGGAACCCGATCTTTCCATAACTGACGATTGATTGAGATAGTTGCTGGACTTATTGCAAGGCTCGTAAGGTGCCATCGAAAAATATTCGCTCTCATAAAATTTCAATAAACTTTTCATGTACTTTGAATCGAAATAATCATCCGGCAGTTGGGGAGTTTGACTGGGGATCGTGGTGGGGCTACGACGGTATCTCGGGACCATCGTTCTGGGGCGTGATCAACCGCGGGTGGCGGCTATGCAGTGACGGCAGGCGACAGAGTCCCGTCAACATCAACCTCAGCAACATCGTCTACGACCACAATATCGGCAATTTGGTCCTGGACGATGTTCATGTGAGTAGCAAACATGTGCGTGTGTTTTGAACTTCCAAATTGCTGTGGCAAACCTTTAAATGGTTATAACTGTATAGAATTATCTGAAAAATTGAGTCATCCTAAATACGAGTGAAGTTAATCACACATCCTTAATGAGGTGAGGAGATGCATAGTGGCGCAATTAAAATCTAGCAGTGGTCACTTTACTTTCGGTGCGTGGAGCGAACGCGCTAGTGAAGAGAACTTGACGCGCTATATATAGATAGTCACAAGGCTGTGTTCGGTGCTTGGTAAATAAGATGCTGCAAATGTTTGCATGGACAAGACAAGAGGAAAAATCGAATATCCTTCGAGAAAAACATTTCTCCTCTGTTAGTGAGAAATATTTAGATTAGGTACAGAAACGAAGCGTAATGTTTCTTGACACCAGTGTCGTCCGGACGGACTATATAGGAAGTTGATATGAATTTTTGAATCTCAATTTCGCTTTGAAGGTTCAACCGAAGCACGTAAGTCTAAGAAACTTTTATACAATTTTTAGCTCACAAATGGCTTTATTTTTAGTATTCATCGTTACATTTTCCATTTAAAAAGGATTTAAATTCATATTTACTATTTTTCCCCCTCATCTTTAGATTTTCTCATGCATGCATAACTCCTCTGAATGTCTCGTGTCAATGTACGTCGGTTATTTCTTCTTGATGAACTTTATTTGTAATTCAGTTGGACGGCGTCTTGTCGAATACTGGATTTGGACTTCGCTGGAGCCCCCATCCTTCAAAGCTGGCATCACATCCGCCGAGTTTGCTGTCACCAACTACATATTTTTCGCCACATAAGTTGACAGAGATGACAGAACTGCCGCACGAAATAATTCCCAAGGAGTTCGAATTCAATCGAGAAATTCAGAGAAGTGCAAACGACGGAAAAAGTGACCAATACAGACTGTTGTTAGACAGGCTACCATTAGGAAAAATTAAGAGATATCAGGGTAAAGATAGAAAAATGTCCTCTTCTGAATATTTGAAGTCTCTCGCAATAAATCAGATGAATGTTTCATTGCTAAACCACATAGAAGATGAGAGGAATCCGTTAATTCGGGAATATATTTCAGTCGATGACAAAAATAACCAGCATTTGCGTCATGAAAAGAATCACAGTAGAAATATTTCACCAAGAGAGCGGTTGTTCGAGAACAGGATAAGGAATTTAAAACGCATGGTCCTCGAAAATGGTGATTTTTATGCAGACGACGTGGAAAAAAATACACCCGAGCATCGCTACTCCAGTAACCGCAACACTTCGTTTCTTGACAAAGATTTCGTTCTAAACAGAAGTCATTTCAAGGAACATGAGTTTTCGAATTCTGGAAACCGAGATTCAGTTGGGGAAACTCGCAACCTAAATTCTAAGTATGATGATGATGTTTTTGTTGGACGAACTTCGAACAAACAATCCATCCCCTTGAAAAACGAAGATCGTCAAAAATTCAGTCTCGTTACCGACAAAAATATTTCTAAAAATTACCTACCAGGTCAAGTGGATAACAAGTTTGTTAAAAGTAAGGACGTAATGCACAATCGCGGAATGGTCGGTCAGACGAACTCTGTCCTGCATTCCCCCCACAAAACGCGGAACGACAGAGCGATCATCTCGGGAGGACCCTTGCTGTACCGCTACACGCTGAGCCACGTCACCCTCAGGTGGTCAGGCTCTCCTGCTGGCTCCGAGCACAGCTTGGAGAACCAGTTCTTCCCTGCCGAGGTTGGTATTGCATCTTGTTTAAGGTAACACAGAAGCCATATCCAATGTTAAACAAAGAGAAGGAACCCAGGTAATCTGTAGCAAAAAGTTCACTCTTCAAACGCTGTTGTCAAACGTGCATTTACTTCGCTGCAGCCAAGTGTATCACCATGAAATGTATCCCATTGTTCAAAAATTTTCAACGAGAAGAGGTTTGAGTTTGAAAATCATTATTTCCAATAGAAAATTGCTAACTTTAATTGTACTTTTTTACGCTGTTCTTGAAAACAGGATACAGGGAAAGACACGGCGCCTAAATTTCGATCATTAATTTTACACAATTCAATGACAGCTGCTGCTTGAATATGTGTGTGTTTCGATGTGTGAAAAGGTGTGTGTTCCGGTGTGTGAAAATGTGCGTGTTTCGATGTGTGAAAAGGTGTGTGTTTCGGTGTGTGAAAAGGTGTGTGTTTCGGTGTGTGATAAGGTGTTTGTTTCGATGTGTGAAAAGGTGTGTTTCAATGTGTGAAAAGGTGTGTGTTTCGATGTGTGAAAAGGTGTGTGTTTCGGTGTGTGATAAGGTGTTTGTTATGATGTGTGAAAAGGTGTGTGTTTCGGTGTGTGGAAATGTGCGTGTTTCGATGTGTGAAAAGGTGCGTATTTCGATATGTGAAACGGTGTGTGTTTCGGTGTGTGAAACGGTGTGTGTTTCGTGTGTGAAAAGGTGTGTGTTTCGATGTGTGAAAAGGTGTGTGTTTAGGATTCAAGGTTTATGATTTCATATAAATTATAACAAGTTATCGTCAAAGAAGCTCGCTAAATATTTCTAATTCATGCTTCAGTCTGACACCAATAATCCGCCAATTTAAGATTTAGCTACTTAATTGACAGCGAAATGAGAACGCCATTCATGCATGCACCCGCTACGCGGTCTCGTACGAATGTTTTCAGTTTGTTAATTTGAAAACATGAATTGAAATAAAATATGTATTCACCTTCGCAAAATTCATCGCGCTTCCATGAAAACCGACATTTTAAAATCATATAATGACACCTATTGAGATCATCGATTTGCTAAACTTAACTTTATTAAATTCCGTTATCTGGAACAGTTTAACTTTTAAATCGGGTATCTTTTGATTTTATTGAGTTCTTAATGCACCACATATCCACAGTAACGTATTATAATGAAATCATTTAATTGATGTTATGTTTGAGTTACACTCCGAACAACACGAATTTTTACACAAAACTCATACCTGCATACATGATATTTTTTGCCCATGGACAAATTTTCTTGCTGCATGAATTAATTAAAGGCCCGTGCAAAGCTCAAACGAGAATCGCAAAGTTTACAAAGATTGAAGAGTTTATTGCTATAACAGATTCAGTTTTTCCGGCCACCTATGTCTTGTGTTATTCTTGTGGGCAAATATTACGATCAAAATAACGATTTAGCTATATAATTTTGAGGTTCCTGGTCCAGGGAATAAATAAAATCCCTAATTTATTTGCATTAGTAACGAAATAAATAACATTTAGTATTTTTCCACAATTTGTATTAGAAATTTTCGAAATGCTGATATATAATTAATTATTATTGAAATTAATTAATTATAAATGAAATAATTATTATTGTCCAGCTACAGATGTACTTCTACAACAGCATCTTGTACTCGAACTTCACGGCTGCCGCTGAGCGACCGAACGGAGTGGCCGCGATTGCAGTGTTTGTCAAGGTGAATATTTTAAGGTGAATGTGAAAGTACTTTCACAGATTAGTGAACAAAACTTGTTGATAATTCAACACGATTGTCATTAAAAAATGAATCTTTCTCTGCTACAGCAAATGTTCAGTTTATAATTGAAACTTTTACGTCTGGCTGAAATTTGTACAAACCATTAATTTTTCTACGATTTAAATATCATATAGAGGTAAACAATTGTTTAATTTCTCACATAATTCTTGATCCTTTGGATATAATTATATTCTATCATTCCAGTGCATTTCCCCAGTTAGGTCACACCTTTAAGGCAGTCATCTGAAAAAGTTTTAGATCGCATAATTTTCTAGGTAAATGAAACCTATATATATATACTTTGTTTATTGATAATATATTTTACTTCTCTATGATTTCAAATTTTTGTCTGCAGCTAAATTTTCTGTCAAATTAATATATAAATTCGGTAGCGGAACTGGCTCGAGGCAGGTTTTTCGCTAGAGGCTCGCACGGTCGTATCACTCCAAGTGACCGTGTTTCATTATCATGGCCGTTGAACTATCAACATATCTCAACATCCGACCTATAAACAACACTTTATACACTGCAAGATGGAAGTGTTAAAACGAGAATCTTTATAGTTAGGGGGGAGATAAATTAAATTATAAACATTAAAACTAAGCTTGACGAAGGCATGAATGAATCTAATTTTGCTGCATCATACAAACGTTTACGACTTCGTTCATTCGGAACAACTACGATCAATTATCAGGGAAGATGGTCCCGACGCACAACTAAACTTATCTATGTGAGAAGTAGTAGCAATGTAGTCGAATATTGATGGAGTGTTTACTAATATTAATTAATACATGCAACACCCGGCCTGTGTGCCTTGTGCATGTAACACACTGAATAATGTATACCTTGTGCATGCAACACACTGACAATGTATACCTTGTGTATGCAACACACTGAATAATGTATGCCTTGTGCATGCAACACACTGAATAATGTATGCCCTGTGCATGCAACACACTGAATAATGTATGCCTTGTGCATGCAACACACTGACAATGTATACCTTGTGTATGCAACACAATGACAATGTATACCTTGTGTATGCAACACTCTGACAATGTATACCTTGTGTATGCAACACACTGAATAATGTATACCTTGTGTATGCCACACACTGATTAATGTATAACTGCTACAGGAAGGTGACGCCCCTAGCGCTGTGCTGGGACGCTGGCTACAGCGGCTTCCCAGCCTGCGGCCCACAGGTCACGACGCTAGGATTGCATGCAATCACAACTAATTTGCAGTTAGAAGGGTAATATAAATTAGAATATATTCGAAGAATTGTTCTGTTAATTTTATCTAATTTTCAAATAAACCTAATTAAGCTTATCGTTCACTCAATTTAAGATTAAAACGCTATGCAATTTCCGCTGAACATCAGAGAAATTAATGTAAGAAATTATTAAAATTATATTATATAGTAATATTGTTTATAGCGTAGAAATTATGTTCATTGAGAGTAATAATGTTTATAGCTTCATTTGCTTGGTGTAATTAGTGCGTTACGTCTCCAATAACTAGCATTTAAGACGGGGTGTTTATACATCACTTGAGTTCAAATAGCGCAAAGAGCGATACGATGAACGGTAGAACTTTAAGAGTAAGTCTTTTCAAGCCCACGATGATTCTTCATTGAAGGACAGCGAACGTGTCAATCAACACAAGTAAATTGTAATGCAACAGAAAAATAATACATACTTAATTTAGCTATATTTAAATATGAATTACTGCAGAATAAATTAATATAACGCATGATGAATGTTAAGGGGACCGACCTCCTCATACGAAAACTTCTACAGTTATTATCCGATTGTCATGAAACTTCACATACATACGTAAAATGTAAAAAAAAAAACATTTTGCTCCTATGAATTTTTCGAAAAAATTGATAGAAAACGTGAAATTCATAGAAAACGGCTAAAAAGCTAAAAAAAGGGGTACNTAATAGGTGAATGTAATGAAGGTGAATGTAATAGGTGAATGTAATAGGTGATTGTAATGGGTAAATGTAATAGGTGAATGTAATAGGTGAATGTAATAGGTGAATGCAATAACATAACATAACATAACATAGTGATGTCGGCGCTGAAGTGTAGGCCTGATGTGGCCTGTCGCCGATTTTTTTCCTTTTCGTGCCTGGTTCATAGATCTAATATCGTATCATTTGACCGGATCTTTTCATGACTGGCGATAGTTTCAAGTAGCTACTAGACTTCCACTGGGTTCGATATGGTGCTAGGCATTTCAAATCTGAACATATATTTTTCCATAGCTTTATCTAGTCTGTTCTTGAACGCGTTCATACTTGGTGCGCCAACGATGTCATCGGGGAGGCTGTTGCACATGTCGGTGATTGACACATGTCGGTAGTTGAAGTAATGAAGGTGAATATAATGAAGGTGAATGTAATAGGTGTACCTAATGAGAGTGAATGTTATAGCTAGCACCTTCATTATCAAAGGCGCTTTTTACTCTTCATGGACGGATTCTATTCACAATAAATTATGATTCAAAACCCAATATTCAGCAAATGAATGTGTAAGCAATAAAAATTCATTATCTATGTAGCAGAGCATGACTTTTAGCCAGATGTATAATTACAAAAAATAATTTGAAAAATATTTCAAAAATATAAGTAGGAGTCAGGGAAAAAATATGTAGCCTAACTCGTGCACAAGTGCCGTTACCAAATAATGTAAATTACAATACAATGTAAGTTACAATACAATACAATAATTTAAGTTACTATACAATGTAAGTTACAATACAATAATTTATGTTACCAATAATATAAGTATGAGTCAATATGTAGCCTAACTTGTGCACAGGCGCCAGTACCAATAATGTAGTTACTATATAATGTAAGTTACAATACAATACAATAATGAAAGTTACCAATAATGCAAGTATGAGTTAATATGTAACCTAACTTACACACAGGCGCCAGTACCGCAGCACCGCTGCCGTCACTGCAGAGTTTGCTGCCGTCGCGTCACTACGTCACGTACGAGGGATCTCTGACCGAACCTCCGTGCGAAGAGGTGGTAACCTGGGTACTGCTGAACCGTCCTCTCTACCTCACCAGAGGCCAGGTGAGTGGTGCTGCTGAACCGTCCTCTCTACCTCACCAGAGGCCAGGTGAATGGTACTGCTGAACCGTCCTCTCTACCTCACCAGAGGCCAGGTGAATGGTGCTGCTGAACCGTCCTCTCTACCTCACCAGAGGCCAGGTGAATGGTTGTGCNACACATCTAGATGTGTATAAGAGACAGAGCCTGGACAGACTGCTTCTATGCAGACGAGAGTGACACGACGTTTGTGGAGTGACAGGACGTTTGTGGAGTGACAGGGCGTTTGTGGAGTGACAGGACATTTGTGGAGTGACAGGACGTTTGTGGAGTGACAGGACGTTTGTGGAGTGACAGGGCGTTTGTGGAGTGACAGGACGTTTGTGGAGTGACAGGACGTTTGTGGAGTGGCAGGACAAATGACAAAGTCATTGAATAGTGAATTTTTTTCATCAGCATTCCATATTCATCATTCTTACATAAGGTTCGTTGTGAGCGTTCAACCTTCAAGGTCAATAAGAAGTGCTGCAGCTAAAGTAATTCCTAAAATTTTAAATTGAAATCGTTTAATTTAAAATTAAATTTTTAAATATAAAAATTTATGACAATTAAATGACAAATAATTTTAAATTATTTTTCTTTGATTAATTCAAAAAATGTAAATTATTATTAAGGTATTTAAAGTTAGATTTTATATTAATTTAAATACTGAAATTAAAAAAACATTTTTGGAAGTACTTTAAAAATTTAATAATTTTAAGTTTGAATTAATTAATAAATAAATACAATTTAATTTGTATTCAATTTGTTTCATTCAATTAAATTTCAAAATTATCCACACGTGTTTTTTATTTAATTTAATAATTATATTAAAACTTCAATAATTGCTAACATAAAATTGATAAAATTTTTGCCGCGTTGTTATTATCATTATATATATATTTATATTTGAATTACGAACTCTTTCAAATGTTGGACATTCAGGACAAGACCATTTGTTGTACAGGGTAACTGAATCTGAGGCCAAAACTCCGTAGAGTTTTACTTGAATGCATTATAACTCTCTTTTTATACGTATCATATACTATTTAATTATCGAAACATCCACATTCATTTGTTTGAAATTAAATTACAGCAAAGACACATAACATCATGGGACATCATCATAACTTATTTTGTGGGATACATTGCATTTGTATATACTGTATAATTAGATACGTTTCGTTGTTGCATATATAATTAGATACATTGAATTGTTCTTTCTCGAGTAATTGGTGACGACTGGCGAAAAATGCTGCCTCAGTCGGCACTTAGAACTGCTACATTTAGTTCAATTATTTTCACGAGTCTTTTGCGAGTCTACAATGCAGTTTATTTAGAGGAGCGAATTTAAAAAGAAATTCATCGAGGCACCATCTGTTTTTTTGTGTTAATTTTTCGTTATATTGCCTTTGAAAAATGTCTTATTTATTGCGCAAAAAAAACGCCGCTGACCGCATGAATAAAAACTAAAATCGCCTAAGCTAGCAGCGGCAGTAGGGTTGTCCGATCTGCTTCGTACGTCTGTCATAACACGTCGAAAGCGGCACATGACAGGTATTATTCTTTAGAACTGATTTTAATTTATTAAAAATACTTTCCTATAAAGCACTGATAATGTCGATGTGATTAGAATTTTTGCTGGCAATGAATGCCTTTGAAAGACATGGATATTGGATAGCTATATTTTTATTCCATTCCAGCAATCCAATAGAGTTGAGTGTCCCTTTGCACGCTTCTTTTGGGAAAACTTTAGTGGAATGTGCGTGGCAGCGCAATTGGAACTTAAAATTTCAATTAGTGAAGAATTTTGATAATGGAAATGGTATTCTATACAATTTCAGGTTATGATTGCCTTATTAATTGCCTAAAGTTAAATATAACATATACAAGAATGCGCGCGTAGAATGAGGAAGCTCACGTATAAAAGTACAGCGGTCGTTACATTTTAATAATGAGCTCCTCGCTAATATTGATACATCACTTCTGTACTTCAGTGATGCTGTACTTCAGTGATGCTGTGCTTCAGTGATGCTGTACTTCAGTGATGCTAGCTGTACTTCAGTGGTGCTGTACTTCAGTGATGCTGTAGTACTTCAGTGATGCTGTACTTCAGTGATGCTGTACTTCAGTGATGCTGTACTTCAGTGATGCTGTACTTCAGTGATGCTGTACTTCAGTGATTTTTGTGAAATAAGGAATACATGGCAATCCAAGCTTTATTCAAACAAATTTCCTGTTACCTGAAATAAGAGTAACTGACATTAAATACTAATCAACATAACAATAATATAACAACAACAAACAATTATACGGCAGATTTAAAGTCAGCGATGTACGTGGTAGAGAACTTACATTACATTACAACGGTAGTTAGAACGTGTCAGCTCGACGGGTACATTGAGACTGATACGGTATTGAAGCCAGACAATCTAACATTAGATAGTTATCTAATTATGAACTTTATTCATACAGAAATAGGGTTCATAATAATAATAATAATAATAATAATAAAGTTCATAACTTTATTCATATAGGGTTCATAATAATAATAATAATAATAATAATAAAGTTCATAACTTTATTCATATATAAATCAGGACTATATTACAACAGTGATGTTTGCTGTGCTTCAGTTGCAGCAGCTGCGGTCGCTGAGGCGGGGGGCGGGTGGGGGGATGGCGGCCCCCGCCTTGGGGAACGTGCGCCCCACGCAGCCCCTACACGGCCGCTCCCTGCGCACCAACATCCCCCACACGGTGGGTTGCCCACCCTCATCCCCCACGCGGTGGGTTGCCCACCCTCATCCCCCACGCGGTGGGTTGCCCTCCCTCATCCCCCACGCGGTGGGTTGCCCATCCTCATCCCCCACGCGGTGGGTTGCCCACCCTCATCCCCACGCGGTGGGTTGCCCACCTTCATCCCCCACGCGGTGGGTTGCCCACCCTCATCCCCATGCGGTGGGTTGCCCACCTTCATCCCCCACGCGGTGGGTTGCCCTCCCTCATCCCCCACGCGGTGGGTTGCCCTCCCTCATCCCCCACGCGGTGGGTTGCCCACCCTCATCCCCATGCGGTGGGTTGCCCACCTTCATCCCCCCCGCGGTGAAAAATGAATTTGTTTTCAACAACTTTCACGGACTTTGTTACGTTCTCTTAAAATAAATTTATGTGAATATTTTTCTTAGCGGAAAATTACAGACTAGCAAATTTGCTTCAAATCGCATGGTAATTAGTTGTAGAATTAATGAATTGATACGTGCCTGTGTTGTGCTGTTACATTGGTCAGTTTTTGCACGAGATTTCTTCAATTGTATCCCAATTATTTAAAACGTTGAGCAAAATAATCAATTGAAAATGATATAAGCTTACTTTATGTCATCGAAGTTATGATCACGCAGCACATTTGTGATGACGTTACTTTCTCCACAGAAATGCCCATCCAAGTCTCGCTCGAAGGCACTTTACCGAGGTGGGTGATAGTAAATTTTCGTTGAAAAAGTATTGGTATTTTATGTAAAAAAGTATCTGAATGTTTCTCAACAATAATAATTTTAATCTTCAGCTTTTTACATGCTTCAAATTTAGTTGACGGTTATTTAATATTGTTTCTCGATAATTGAAACGATAAAATTTCACGCACAGAGACATCTATTTATAGCTACAAATTATTCCAACCTCATATAAGTACAAACATTCCTTATAGCATTGATGGTGAATTCTGGATTCGAAGAACACCATCCAGAATAATTTTTTAATGTAATTTCAGTCTCTCATAATGTCGTGGGTTGTGTCCCATCCAATTGCAGTCACGGTGTATCTAAATTCTTATTAAATTTAATCTTATTTGAATTAGTGATTCTTTTACAAAACTTTTAAATGTTACTTTGTTTCCTAGAAGGGCAGAAGTTTGTGTTAAATTAGAATTAATTTTTCCCATATGTTTAATTTTTTTGCCAAACTTTTTTCAGTGTCGGAGAGTGACGATCAAACGTGATGATCTTCAGGCAAAGCTTTCTACAGACAATCAGTTTTTCATATATGTTTTAATTGAACTTGGAGGATAATTTCTACATTTACAGAATTAATCAACACCGATCGAAAAAGATTAATTTACCACAACTTTTTTTTTTCCTTTTTCGTATTCGAAAACTTATTCACTTTTTTTACGCTAACAAATATGAATATTTTAGGTCGTTTCATATATATTTTTATATAAATAATGGAAGTAGATTCGTTGGGTGAGTGGAATTGCGTATATAACAACTCTAAAGCTGACATGCGTACAATGTGCAATCTTCCACGTTACTTATGGTGAGACAGGCAAGAAACAGGAAACAAAGCATTGTGGTCAGCAGCCACATTTGCGATTATTTTTTGAGCCACTTCCACATTTTGTTTTTGAATTGATAATTAGAAGCATACTTAGTACGTTTCTGGGGCCATACTTTTAAAACTCGCTAAGTTAACCTAAGTACTTACGCTCTATTTTCCAGTCTATGATTGGTGGATTTTGCTTGAAAGGCCGTCGATGATTGGCTGACGAACTTACGATCTCATAACTTTTTGAGAGTATGGCCCGCCGTTCTGCGGTGTTGAGAGATTTCTCACTTCACAAGTGCGGCGTTAGCTCATTTCCTAGCAGGCAGACCTCTCTCGTCGATATCTGGTGCAACTCAATAGCTTTTACAATTAAGATTTCATCTAAAATTCACGACACTCTTTTCAACTTAGTATTTTACTTGGAGCTACTTAATAATTATGAATATAAAACAACTAGTCATAATCGTGTTTTATATTCTAAACCTTTGAATAAAATCTGACTTGAAAATCTCTTATTTTTCTCTCCTTTTGGGCAAGGGAATGGCTTCAGTAAACCAGTGTTATTCGTTCGGCAAATTCTGATTCATAGGCTAATAATCTACTCAGTGGCATGCTTGAGCACGAGAAGAATATGATTTGGTGATTTTCAGCTACAACCGGGTGACTGAAATGCTCAACTTTTGCTCTGAATAATTATTGTAAATATGTGCTTATATTGCTCATAATAAATTGCCTGAATAAAAATTTCGCGATTACAAGAAACCTCTGGCAAAAATCACAATGCATATAAAAAATTTCCACCTTACATCCGACCATCGGTGCGAGATTTCACAGTTTTAAACTAGGGAAGCTTGGGTTTGTGACCAGCTGCATGGTAAGTCAAAGGCGAGTGGAAATGCCTCACTCACTACCCAACAGCGAAATTTGCCAATGGCAGTGAGTGCGGCATGTAAGTCATGTGAAGATGGACTCAATATAAGAAGTAAATTACAAAGTCCGACTTTTATTGACCCATCTGCGAATATCTGGGAAAGACGCTCGCAGGGCATCATTGTTTTGAGCTAAGGCAAGTTGACATTTAGGTTGAATTATGTACAATTTTAAGTTGATATTCATCTAGAGAATCATTCCAGAGAATAACAGGCAAAATTAAAAAATCATTCCAAAGAATGAAGAAGAAGGAAGGAATCATTCCAAGAAAGAAGGAATCATTCCAAAGAATAACAGGCAAAGGAAGGTGCATTGCGCGCTGGATCATTACTTACTATGATATAAGCATCACATGAAGTTATTTGATGCAGATTTTTGTTTCTTTTTTTAGATGTGCGAATTTTTATTTTTATTCTGCAATTGTTACAAATTTTCCCATAGTTTCCTTCTTATCTGTAAAATAATTTTTGAAATTCACCTGCACAATAATAATAAATTTCACCTTCACGTGATTCACGTAAGCTTTAAGAATTTTCTTGGGTGTGCATGAGGCTCTCTAGCACTTTTGAAAACTTCGAACAGTTTTCAGATCTTCGAAACTTCCTCCCAAAGTTATCTTATAAAGTTTGAAAAAATATTGTAGCTCGAACAAGAAGAGGGAACGTATAAAACGTTATCAGATACTGAATTTACGTTTAGTGTTAATGTAATTTAAACTCATTTCTTTCTATTTCGCGTATATTTTATCATAATTACAATATGTATCTTTTCCATGAATTTAATTGCTCGCCGTTAAAAATTCCCAAAATTTCTTCCCAAAAATTGGTCCCGAATTTTTTAAAGATGATCAACACAAATTTACAAGTGCAACGATATGTCATTGAAAAATATGCTCATGACTACCGTGAAAGCCTATCGAAATCAAATGAAAGCCTATCGAAATCAAGTGAAAGATAATAGAAAACGAATGAAAATGTCCGATTGGGTTTGTCATTTCCGGATCGAGTGATCAGAAGTGGATGTTTTAGCGCTGGAAAAGGAATTTTGGGATATGCCCAAGCTGGGCTTCTTTAATCGAGCGAAGTCATCATGTCCAAGCTGGGTACTATACTTGTGATCTCAGCCTCACCGCACCAGCGCAGTGATCGACCAGCCTGAACACTGCGTCTTGAACACGGCGCTGAAAAATACCAGAATTTAATACGAGGCTCTTGCAGATAAGACTTGAATGAATGTAGCGGTATCAATAAGTATGTAAACTACCATCTGTCAATTCGAGTAATTTTCGTGGAAGATGAACATTCGTTACTGCAATACACCAATATTATTGGAAGTAACAATCTTGGTATACACATGCACTACAATTATTTAACCTCCAAAGCAGTACTGCATTTCTGTCTGTCTGTCTGTCTGCATCTCCCCCGCCCTGTTTCAATTCAGCGATGATGTACACGTCACTATTAATTAAAAAATTCAATCTTTTAGCGGAAATGGTCTGTGGCATCATTCATACGCCCGTCTCTCTGTCTCTGTCCATAAAAAGAATAAGTAGCCAACGCAATCTGTTGTTGAACCTGTTAGGCCGTACGTTAATCATCCTTTTGACCTGGTACTTACTACACGGTGCTCCTATACGAACTATGTAAGTCTAAGTAACCTATAGCAACTAAAAATCTTCTCACTTATTGTTTTCTCCATAATTGTGTTCATTGTAAGAGCGTGTTAACGTTTTTTCTGGTTCTTGTGTATAGATGTTTTGCATTAGTGTCTCATAGGTAATTTGTTTTCAGCTTACACGTTTACGAGTAAGTGAAGACCCCCGTCCATCTTCTTTACTCCATACGAGTTTACTGCCCGAAAGAGCGTACGACATGAACGGCTCGCTCGAAACATGGTCATTAGATCAAAAACCCGTTAAAACAAATCAGAAACTTCCCGTTTTTTAATTATGCTTCCGAATCTTCATTTGCGATATCAGAAAGTCGTTAGCTCCTCTGTGACTAAATTTTTTATGCAAACAAAGATGATTGAGACACATTCATTCAGAGGTATTACAAGATAATTTTTTCTACAAGCATGATCATAGCGGGATAATGGAATGACACATGATGTATAGAATGAAAATCCATACAGAATTAATGTTTTAATTCAATATTTACCGAAAAGATGATCGCTTTGAAACATTTATTCTTGTCGAAAAGCCGAAATTTAATTTCCATGGTTGGTGATTTTTCTCATTGAAAAAAGTTCACCATTCATAAAAAATTCTGGGACAGTTTCAATTCCCTTGCCTAATGTAAGTTTCTCATAAAAAGGGTCGCTTTAAAATAACAGCAACATAAACTGGACCAAATTTAAATTACGATATATATTTTATGTTTCTATATTCACGACTAACCAAATATAGGAATTATCAAAAGAATATATAAATAATGAAATTTATAGATTATATCTGAAAGAGAACGATTTAAAGGAAGTTTTAATCATACAACATATGGCATCATGTTCTTTATTTACCGCAACTCCGAAGGAATTCCCTTTCGATATAAATTTTTACACATTTTTAAAAATCCGTTTCGCCCGCTATAAGAAATGCCACCCGATTTCATGCAGAAAAACATCAGTAGATTCTGGGAGGCAAAAAACAATCCTCGATTCTATCTGTAAAAATAATTTTCCGTTTCATCAGCCAAAAAATAAGATAGACCCCATTAAAAAAAGCTTAGAGATTTGCCTCGGAGAAAGGAATCAAATGGCGGAAGCAATTTGGTCGCCGCTGCTGCTGCTGCTGCGTGGCTTGCTGCAGGTAGTGACTGATTGCTGCTGCTGCGTGGCCAGTTAGATGATAAATAGGTCATAATTTTCAATTTCTGGTAGTTAGATGATTAATTAGCATCCTGTTTTAATAGAAGTGTAAAATAATAAAATAGGAAATAATAGCCTTTTGCAACAGAATTTATAATCAGCAGGAAATATATGCATAAGTTTCATTTCATTTTATTGTGTATTCATTTAGTACTGGTACCAGGCACTAAATTTCTTAATTTTTCATAATTTGTATCTATATTTCAAGCGAGCATCATTGAAATGTTTTGAGCCTTCAGATAGCTTCTCCATCAGCCTCTAAACTGGACTGGAATATAGCGTGAATGTGTCCAGTGTTGCAGCGCGACTGGAATATAGCGTGAATGTGTCCGCTGCTGTAGCGCGACTGGAATATAGCGTGAATGTGTGCGCTGATTGCAGCGCGACTGGAATATAGCGTGAATGTGTCCGCTGTTGCAGCGCGACTGGAATATAGCGTGAATGTGTCCGCTGTTGCAGCGCGACTGGAACTTAGCGTGAATGTGTCCGCTGTTACAGCGCTACTGGAATATAGCGTGAATGTGTCCGCTGTTGCAGCGCTACTGGAATATAGCGTGAATGTGTCTTCGGGAACAGTTGGAATACACGTGAGCTATACACTTCTTTCTCATGCTCGCGTGTTGTCGCATCACTCTGTAATTTTTTATTGTATTATGTCACAGTTTGCTGAAACGAACAAGCGGTAAATATGGGCGCGTAGCCTGTAGTATTATTCAAGTAGCGAATTTATTCCTTTCAAGTTTCTGCATTAATGCTTAAATAATTGAAATATAACTTGCATGCATTTTGACGTGGGTGGTTATTACGATGTTTCAATCTGCTTAAGACAAATTATAAATAATCGAGAATATTCTCTTTGACATCCAGCTGGTTTACGAACCTTTTTATGTGTATCCGTTGAACCTGCGTTCTCGGCACAGACTATACGTCTCTGTATGGAAGATAAATAGCCCCGTAT